GAGCGACTGAGATGGATCGAAGGTCAATATCCCCACCCCATCCCCAGTCGAACTGTACAGCATGGATGCAGACTGGCCACGGCATGGAGAGGCGGTGGCCAGAGGTGGCCTGAATTCTGCCGTAAACCGTGAAGGTTGACGCTGCACAATAATTGACACCCGGGCCTTGCCCCTCCGCTTACAGCGCTCTCCCTGGCTCCCGGTGTTCTCTAAAAACAGGACGTGGCATGCGGAGACAAAGCGGGCATTGAGGCAGTCCCCTGCCAGCCCTCCTCCATCAGAGATAATTGGATGGCAGCAGTTCACCGAACGTCAATTCACATGGCTCAGATACCGAATGACCTTACAGGCCTTTTACAGAAAGAAGTCTCCAAGGATTGTCAGGTACTCTTTGGGATACTCTCCGAGAGAGTCCGATGCCACCTGGAGCAGGGCTCCGTATCCATGCCAGGGTTTTTGAGAAAGTGACCCCAGGTGTGTGCACAGCTGCCCCCAGCCCCTCCCCTGCCCCTTATTTCCTGATGCCGGGCGAGATGATGGCTATCAAAGGGACGAAGTTGCAGCTGGGGAAAGGGAGCAGGAAGGGATGGCTCTGCCGGCCAGCTCCCCCCCACACACACCCCGGAGGGGGGGGGGCAGCTGATTCTGACATGGGCCCCGCCCCCTCCCGGGCAGATGGTCAAGGATGCACAGGAGGCGAAGACGGGTGGACAGCAGGCGGGGAGGGGTGGGTCCAGGCTGGACATCTCCACTACAGGCTTCCTCCTCCTTCCCAAGGGGGCCCCTGGAAATCCACTTGCCGAGAGGCCCGCTCTCTGTGGGGGTTTCTCACTCGCTGTTGTCCGGCTGCCGATTCAGAGCTTTCCTCCTGCTCCGCTCCTCTCTGCGGGCTCTCTGGCACCCCTGGGGCGGTTTGTGTGATGGAAAAGCCAGAGACACGCACCAATGAACACTGCTCTGGCTGTCGGGTTGCCGTCGGGCATCTCAGCCGTCTCTCTGCCAAGGAAAGGGGGCTGGGAGTCCTCCGTGCGGGGCAGGTGTCCCGGTGTGTGGGTGATCGTCCACAGCCTGCCTCCGAGGTGCCTTGCTCCCGGGTGGTTCCCTTCAGGCCTGTCTTTTGGCTGACCACGAGAGGTCTTGTGTGTGTGTGTGTGTGTGGGGGGTGTCGGGGATCTGGAGCGCCTCAGCCCAAGGGAGGCAAATGGGTTGCAGCTGCCACCAAGGGAGGGGGAGGGAGGAGGGAGAAGTTCCGGGAGGAGGCCTGGGCAGGCAGGCTTTGCCAGGTGGACCGGGAGGATGAGGGGCCTCCCGCAAGCCCCTCCGCTTGTGCTTCTTCACCGTGTGCTGCAGGGCAGGCGAGAAAGAGCCGGTCAGTTTGGAGGCCAGGAGGAGCACGCAGCACGACCCCCAGAGGGCTTCCTGGAACGGGGCAGGACTGGCAGGAGGGACCGCTGGGCTACCGGGTGGGTCGGCGGAAGAGAGAGGTGTCATGGGAGCTGCTCTGGGGACCAGGGGGGGCTTCTCCACCCCTCCCCTTCCCCTGCTTTTGGAGCTGCGGAGCCCGACCAAAGGCCCACCCAACCCAGCAGCCCATTTCCCTCAGTGCCCAGAGAGGGTTTAAGGCCAAATGCTTCCCTGCTGTTGCTCCCAGCAACTGGTGTTTAGCAGCAGCAGCAGCAGCAGACACAAGGGCCCCCCCCACACCCACACCGTGAGCCGCCAGCTGTCATCCCCGGCTGCCTCGGAGGGAGGGAGGGAGGGAGGGGAGTCCTGCTCCCTCCTGCAGCCCCTTGCTGGGAGCCAGAATGAACCCGGAGGAGCAAACAGGGGGTCTGACCTTGTGGGGAGGCAGATCCACGGAGGAGGCCAGGCAGGGAGGGCTAGCAGCTCTGTAGGGAGGGACAGGCACACAGAGACAGGAGAACAATGTTAACCACTCCAGGGGCTCACACGGGCAAGGGAAGGGAAGTGCAGGGACCACGGCCTGGCCCCCACCCTCGCACCTCCGGCCTCCCCTCTCCGTCCTTGCTTCTGGCCCCTGAAATTCCTTGGGTTTTGCCACGCAGCCCCACAGCCTCAGAGCATTACGCCAAGCCAAGACGTCTGGCACATGTTTGCACTGGTTCTTGTGCCCACTCAACAGGCAGTGCTGCGCAGTTCCCGGGAGCTCTGCCTAATGGTCCGGCGAGGGTCCCTCATAACTACCTAACTGGAAGACGGGTGGTTTGTGCACCAATTATCACACAGAGGATTCTGCCTACTTAGGGTACAGCTGTTAACATTTCTGGGAATTTTGAAGCCATGGGGAGAAACCACACGCCCGTTTTGGGTGGTGGTGGGGGGGGATGGAAATTTGGGAAAGTTCAAATTTAGGCACTATGTACTTTCCTATCAAATCTAAATTTCTTTTACTGATTTAACAACATAAAATGCACTGCTTGTAATTTAGCTGGCCTATCAAATTGTACTATTTGGCATATTTGTGGGATTTTAAAAGGACAAATGCCTTCCTTTTCTGTAAGGAAAACTGCAGGGCCACGCAATAGCCGAGGAAAAGTTGCCTGCTGCTGCACCCTCCGCTGCCCCGGCACCTGTGACTTTCGTTTCAGCCTTCGGGGAGGCAGGGAAAAATAAAAGTTGAAGGCAGAAATCAAAAGGTTGTGTATGGTTTGGACATAAACACTCATTCGGCCACAACAGGTTTGGATATGAAGCTCAGTTTGCGACTGAACTCTTTAAGACATTATGATTAAACATGCCATGAAATAGTATCTGTTGCCAAAAATATTCAGTTTTCTTTAAAAATCTGGTGTATGTCCACAGTATATATGGGAGATCCAATTAAAGGGGGGAATGAAAAAGTGCAGGGGAAGATGGCGGCAGCGGAGAAACTGGCCTGATCAGCCACCAAGGGGTTATCGTATCCTGGAGTGGGAGGCCTGGGGTGTTTGGAGTGGCGGTGGAGCATTTCCCAATAATTTATTCCCCTCTCCTCTGTCATTCCTTGCGGGCACCAAACTCGCGAGGTGACGAGAAGCCAGCTGCTGGAAGCATGAGACGAGCACGATCCGCCAGCGCTTCCAGCCATGTGGGCAGAGACCCTCTTCTCTAGCCAGCTCCCAAACTCGGCCAGCTCTCAGAATCCAATCTGATGCACTGCCAAAACATTTCCTCCCCACCCCACCCCACCCCACCCCCAACAAATCCTTGGCTGCCTTCTCCTACTCCCGAGGGCACGGCATCCCCACTGCGAACACCCGCAGCCCCTCCCCCCGCCCATCATGTGGAGACTGCGGCTGTGCCTGTCGCCCCCCTGGATGTCTGCCCTGATCCCGTGCTGATTCACTCACCAGGTGGGGGTGCTGCTCCGCCTGCTCCAGCTGGATCTTGATCTCTGGGCAAGACGGGTCTGTGGATTTCCTGGGGTCTGGCTGGGGAGAGTGAGAGGGGCCTAGAAATGGAATGGGGAGGAAGAAGAAGCATGCCAAGGGTGGTCCAAGTCATCACACACACACACACACACACACACACACCACCCACGACAGGGAGCCACAAGTATGTCGCCAGGAGGCTGCCTTGATGCCAGGGCTGGTTGCTTGGTAGCTTGGGCTTGTCCAAGGATCACACGCTCTGCCATTCCCCGTAGTCCCGCTAAACTGTCGCTGGCAATGCCTCTGTTGGCATGCCCTGAGAGGAGTGGGGAAAGGACACGCGCCCCCCAACCCCAATGCAAAGGCAGCTGGGGGTT